AACAGGCAAAGCTGAAGGCTGTAGAGACGCCCATCACCAAAAGCAAAACGAGTCTTCTTCAAAGGCAAAACGATCAATGTACATTTTTTTCTCGAAAATGTGCCAGGACGCAAGTTTTTCGTTAAGAGGAAAGGAGTGTTTCAAGTCCAAACTCCAAACATACAGTCAAATGTCCAGCAGCAGCTAAAATGATCAATGTACATCAAGGTGGTCGAGTTCACTCCATATAAATAAAAGGGTCCCTTTAGATGATGACATAGATAACACATAATCCTAGCCTAGATTAGTTGGGTAGGTGTTGACGCTGAATTGGGTCACACACCTACCAATGCTAGCACACCCAAGGTCTCACACGGCTTTAATCGCAGCAAGAACACAGTGAATCAATGAAACCGATCGACAAACCGATTAGGCCGATTTGAATCCTGTTCTTCGTCTGTTAGACTCTCGAAGACCTCCTGAGAAGACCTATCGAGGAGGAGCAAGTAGAAGTTGTCCAACACTACTACAAAAAAGTATTTGTAGCAACATTGAAAGCTCTAGTTTGGTTTTGGATAATTGATAAAACCTATTTGACTAATCCTTGATCTAAGTGTGTAGACTAGATAGGATGGTCAAAGGCCAAGTATTGGAGCAAGATGAAGTCCATGGTGATGTTGGTGGATATGTGGTGATGATCAAGCTCTAAACTTAGATAAAAAGAAAGAGAGAAAAACAAGATGGCCTCAAGGCATAGGTATATTTAATAGGGCTATTTTGTTTTGCCACTCAAGACACCAAGTGGGTGTGAGTGGGTTTAGGATAGATAGCCATACTATTAAGTGGGGAGAATCTTTGTTAAAACGGTTATCGAGTGCCACTAGGTGAAGTCATTGTTGCATATGCTTTTGGACCTAGTGTGCTAACTTAACACCCTTGAAAATGCTTTGAAAATATGCTAACACACGTGCACAAAGGTGAGACACAAGGAGGTTAGCACTTTGGAGCAAGGGCGAAGAATATGGAGATCAAAAGGAGTTGATTTCATCGACTGGACCCTGGCAGCCGGGGGTTTGGACCCTGAGGGCAAGTCCGGTCCAGACTTAACCCTAGCTGAGGGCCGCGCGGCCTTAGCTCTAGACCCAACGCTGGGGAGCGACCGGACTCGACTCTGAGTCCGGTTGATGGCAGGGTGACCACTACTACAGAAAAACTTTCACAAGGCATTTGATTTGGTCCCTCCGAATTAGGCGGGCTGGTTGACTGCCTCGGTTAATGCCTGGAATTAACCAAGGCGGTCGTTTTTTATTAACCGAGGCAGTCACAGTTAACCGCCTCCTAAAATATATTTACGTAGGCGGGCCTTAAAAGTGGCCCGCCTCCAAAAATAGATCCATTTTCGGACACGGGCCCCTTATGAGGCCCGCCTCCGGTAATCCCCACCGAGCCCAGTAAAGGTTGGGGCAGCCCACTTCGGCCCGGTTAGAAGGTCAGAGTATATATACAAGTGAAACTCTAGCCCACTACACACCCTTCTCTCCCACCTGTTAGCCCCCTCCCTCCTCTCCCACATCTCTCCTCTCCCTCAGGCACAGTGGGCGAGGCGGGCAGCGGCATGGATGCTGGCGCGACGGGTGGAGCGGACGAGGCAAGGTGGGCCGCGGCGGGCGAGGTGAGAGGCATGGGCAAGGTGGCCCTCCGCCCATCTCTTCCTAAAGCATGGGGCGCATGGCTGCCTCTTCCTCCTCCGACGGGGCTTGCACGGCTACCTCCTCCTCCTCTGGCATGGCTGCACGACCCCCTCCTCTGGCAGTGGCGCCCCTCCTCCCCTCCGGCATGGTGCCCCTCTCCCCTCCCTCTCTCTCTCAGGCCCCTCCTGGATCCTAGATCCAGCGGCGCGGGCGAGGAGGAGCCCAGATTCGGCGGCAGGTAGGCCGGATCCGGTGGCGGGGAGGCCGAATCCGGGAGCGGGTGAGGCAGCAGCGGCGCGGGCGACGCGGGTGATGCAGGCAGGCGGTGATGGCACTCCTCCTTCACCTCTTCATCAGCTCCAACGCTGGGATGCCGGATCCAATGGCCGGCAGGCGTGATCCAGCAGCGGAAAGGCGGGATCTAGCGGGCTACGGTTGCAGCGGTGGTGGTGCGTGGATGGGCTCGGTGGGCCTGTCCATGGATTTTGTTTTTGTTTTTTATTTGATTTAATCAAGGCGGGCATTTCAACCGCCTCAGGAAAGATCCATTTAATGTGATCGTTCGACCGAGGCGGTTGCGATGCCCGCCTCGGTTAATCACTTTTGCCCACCTCGGTTAAGTTTCTAGTAGTAGTGGACGTGGCTCAATGTCGAGAGAGCGCGGTGGCGACCAGACCCAGTTCGGAGTGACTCTGAACCCTGCTGAGAGTCCAAAGAATTATTTAGAGCAAACAGAGAGCACTAGTTTTGGACCGGACTCTACTGTTCACAGTCCGGATGCTAGGTCCAGACCGAGTCCGGTCGATATTAAGGGCTTCAGGACCCTCTGTTTGGCTCTGGACTCTGGCACGCGTTTGGCCAGACTCTGGCACGAGGGTCCGGTCTGGAGTAGTTGCTCTCACACATGAGTGCTCGGATGCAAGCAACACAATGACTGGACCCTGGGGTCAGGGTCCGGTTGGGAGGAAACTAACATGAGTCTTTCTGACTATTGAGATCCGACGCTCGCTATTGAATGAAAGCGACACGTGGCTGCATCAAAGTCGATCGGACCATGGTGAATTGGTTCAGACCGGACTCTGTCATGGTACGGTTGGTGCGCGGTGTGCCCAATCAAGGGGTATAACAGTTCTATTCTTTTTGGAGCTCTATAAATTGTTGTTGGCCGGGTCTAGCTCTCTCTCTTGGACATTTTGATCATCCATACATTGCTTTGAGCTGAGCCAAACCTCTCCCACTCATTCTGTTGCTTGGTTGTGCATCTCAAGCGAGTTGGGAGTGATCCAAAGTGCATTTGCTTGAGTGATTGCATCTAGTGGCACTTGGAGATCGTTTTGCTATGGTTTTCTTGTTACTCTTGGCATTTGCTGATGCCTAGACGGCTTGGAGCAACTTGAGGAGCTTGGCACGAGTTGGTGATTGTTCATGGCCACTCCCGGTGTATTTGTGAGGTGTTCTTGACCTTTCCACGGTGGAGCATCGAAAGGTACTCTAGTGGATTGCTCGTAGCTTGTGGATCCTCATCTTATGTTGGTTGTGCTGCACCCTATTGAGGGTTTGACGTGTGATGCCAATTAGCGCGTGAACCTCCAAATGAGTGTATCGCTACAACAAGGACGTTGCTTGCCGGCAAGCAAGTGAACCTTGGTAAAAATCTTGGTGTCATATCTTGGTTATCTTGTTGATTGATTGTCTCTTGCCACGGCGGTATAATCACCTCTACTTCACTCTTGTATTTACTCTTTTTCATACTTGTGTAGTGTTAGCAGTGGTAGTTAGTGAAGTAACTAGTTAGTGGTAGCTAGAAGTAGTTAGTTCTTTATCTTGTTCTAGCTAGCTCATTAGTTTAGCTTAGTAGAGACATAGCCTTTGTGTGCATAGAGACTTTACTTGACAAGACTTGGGGATAGGTGGCTTGCAGCCCATTTAGAACTAGTGCAAAATTGCATTTCGTCATTTGGCTATCTAATCGGTTGCTTAAGTGTTTTTTTAGAAATTTTTATAGGCTACTCATCCCCCACTAGCCATTTAGGACATTTCAAACACTTCCTTTTTGTCGGGGTGGCCCAATTTAAACCCGCCTCTAAAAATGGTTCTCAAAATGAGCTGCCCCTACAAATTGATTTGTAGAGACGGTTGGTATTTTCAGCCGCCTCTACAAATGGTCCTATTTGTAGTGGTGGCTCTGGATCTAGCCACCCGTACAAATCGATTTGTAGAGGCGACTGAATCTAGAGTCGTCCCAAAAAAGGGCAACAAATAGTAGAATTACCTATTAAAATTTGAAAATTTCAAATGACCTCAGATGGAGATATGACCAAAATGAAAGTTGTACACTACTGGGAAACCGAGCATTTGTGATAAAAATATTGTGACAAAATTTTGTTTTGTCACTAATTCCTGTGCTATTAGTGACCAAACTAATCTTCATCACTATTACTTCGGTTATTAGTGGCAAACTACTATTTCGCCATAGGATGCACCTTCAGTGGCGAATTTAGTGGAGAAACATTAATTTGCCACTAATAAATAGGTTAATTGTGACTAAATATTTTTTCCTCACTGTTATGACATTTATCAGTGGCAAAAATTTATATCGCCACATAGTACAAGGTTAGTGAGAAAATGTTGTGGCGAAATAAAATTTTGCCACTATTTAGCATATTAATTGTGACTAAAAAATTCCCTCCACTATTATTACATTTATTAGTGATAAATTTTATATCGCCACATGGTACATTGTGGCAAAATATTTTTAGTCACTGTTTATCAGATTAATTGTGACCAAATAATTTTCTCACTATTATAATATTTATGAGTGATAAAAACATGCATCTCATATGATACATAATTTGTAAAAAAATAATGTGGCAAAATATTATATTATCAACGTTTACTAGATTATTTGTAACTAAATATTTCCATCTTACTGTTCTAAGATTTTTACTTGTGCCAAAATTTTGTCACGATCATTTCTTTCTGAACACATAAGCTAAAGGGTACATTTTGAACATCAACTAGCATACTGTTGTAGTAGGGACGGTTGAGTTTGGTCGACAAAGGTTGCCTGTTGCATTTGGTTTAATCTCTACAACTAAAAAGTCCCAAATGGTATCGTTTTCGCCCCGCTAATCACCGCTTAGCCGCGCTAATCGCCCCCGCTAAACACCCCGCCCCGCGCGCTTCGCCCCGCCACGATCTCAGAACTGCCGCCCACGCACGACTCCCGCCCACACCGCCGCTGCGAGCGTCACAGTCCGGAGCATCAGGACGACCACGACGCACCAAGGCTGTGCCATCTCAGGAGTTATTTTGTTCCTCGCGCTCGCCATGCCGCGCTGGGACCTGCTCCTCGCACACGCTCCATCTGGAGTTCTGGACACCGCCCCAATCCACTGTGCAGGAGCCCGATCTGGTGGGAGGAAAGTGTGCCACCGCCCTGTCTCCTCGATCGCCGCGCAGGTGGCCACGATTGTGCGGGAATCGACGCGACCTGCCTCATCCCGCACTGCTGCGACCGCTGCTCCCCGCCACCGCCTCTCCTGGGGCCTCGTGCCGCGCTCCCGACCTCCAACATGGGCGTTGACAGCCGCCGCGGAGGGAGGAGAAAGAGTAGCAGCGCCGGCGAGCGAGCAGGCCGTTAGAGGATCAGAATCTGAGCACGAGCGACGTGGTTCTGATCCCCGATTGCTGAGCCGCCTCCTCTCCCCAGGTGTCCTGATCTCGTAAGATCCCTTTGCCCGCCTGCTCTGTTTTATGCAGGGTTAAGTCTAATTTACACCCTCCAACTTGCAGCAAAGTTCGAATTTCAACCTTGAACTTCAAAACCGGACAACTTTGGCCCTCCAACTCTCGAAAAAGTTCAACTTTCAACCTTCTGGCGGTTTTGTGGGTGAACAGTAACTTTTGATATTTTCGGGAGCGCCAAAATTTTTTATTATTGTTTCGAGTATCTTAACGTCCTCAAATAAAAAAACTCAAAACTACAAAGTTATAGATCTCATCGAGGTCTACAATTTACATATAAAAATTATCTTCATCCGACATCGTGTTGAAGGGTTTTCTATTTTTTGAAATTTGAGTCTCATCACGCGACAAAATTGTTTCACGCGTGATGAGACTCAAATTTCAAAAAATAGAAAACCCTTCAACACGATGTCGGATGAAGATAATTTTTATATGTAAATTAAAGATCTCGATGAGATCTACAACTTTTTAGTTTTGAGTTTTTTCATTTGAGGACAGTAAGATGCTCGAAAAAATAATGTAAAATTTCAGCACCATATTTTATCGTGTGATGAGACTCAAATTTCAAAAAATAGAAAACCCTTCAATACGTTGTTGGATGAAGATAATTCTTATATGTAAATTGTAGACCTCGATGAGACCTACAACTTTGTAGTTTTGAGTTTTTTCATTTGAGGACGTTAAGATGCTCGAAAAAATAATATAAAATTTCGGCGCTCCCGAAAATATCAAAAGTTACTGTTCACCCACAAAACCGCCCAGAAGGTTGAAAGTTAACTTTTTCGAGAGTTGGAGGACCAAAGTTGTCCAGTTTTGAAGTTCGAGGTTGAAATCCGAACTTTGCTGTAAGTTGGAGGGTGTAAATTGGACTTAACCCTTTTATGCAATAAAGAGCAAATTCTGCCTGCGTTTTGGTTTTGGCTGTTCATCACGATTACTACGGTGAGAATAGCGATTAGGGTTTCGAGGAGGATTATTGGGCGTACAACTTGCTGGCTCATTTGAGGCTGTACGCGGCTGTGGCCTTCGTTCGATCATTTTGTACGGACAAGGGTTCAATAAGTTGTATTAGGTGTGGGATTTGTGACTTTTTTATTTTTATTGGCAAGCCGCTGAATGGGCTCTTACAGGTTCAGAACTCCCAAGTCCCAACCCTTTTGTTTTTGAAATGAAAAGTTAGCAACAATACATCACTAGAGAATCATAACTAGAGACTAGATGACAGGCACACAAAAATTGCTTATTAGTATTGTAGAACCATCGGTCTCCACACCACCACACTGAATTTGTTTCAGTTATTGTCTCCTTGTGCAGGGACACACAAGATGCTGCATCCTAGCTGGGTCAGCGTCTCGGCATGCGTCTCGGAGTATTGGTCTGTGATAATCGCCACTGTTGTTTTCGCATTTGTTGGTGTGGTGACAATTTACTACACTGTGTTGAACAAGAACATCAGCTTGAGCCTGATAAAGGCTATCAAGGCCAGGGCCAAGAGGTACAAGAAATGGAAGGACAAGGTGCCCGCTGCGTCCCACAAGCGTGTGCTTGAAGTTTGTTTCCCCTCCTCAATACTCTGGGGGGGACCATCCATCAATGTGATATCTGCGGCGCCCCCGTGCATCCAAGCTGCTTTACAAGGATTACAAGTGTGTATCTATGGCTGGTTTGGACCATGTGCTTCACCAGTGGGCTGTGCAATGGATTAGCATCGCGGATCACTCTGAAGAAGATCTGCTGCTACTGTGATGAATCTGGCAATGGAGCTTTCCTTGCGGGGTCACCGGTTTGGTACTGTATGTGGTGTCAGCGGCTGGTGCATGTTAATTGTCACAGCAGCTTGGCCAAGGAAACTGGTGATATCTGTGACTTGCGAGTTGCTACCATTATTGAAGCGGTTGATATTATCACGTCTTTGTGTTAAGGAGCTTCATTGGACAGGTGCTGGGATTTTGAGTTCTATCTATCACTCACAAATGGGGCTAATGAATCGGCCTCCACTGTCCGAGAGACAATTATTCAGATTCATAGTAAAAGGTACAAAGGGGTAGCACTTCTGCTGATTCAATGAAGCTCTGGGGCTATTGAGCTACCATATGATGTTGAAGGAGATTCACAAGAAGTAAACAACGCAGCAAAGAGGAGGGATGATCAGGCCAATGGCGAACTCAATGAGGTACACCAAAGCTCTGAATCAGAGAAAGATAAGCCACATGTACCAGATAACGCAGCCACAACCAGTAGATCAAATGTACAATGTGAGAATTCTCATGTACAGAACGATCAGAAGTATGAAATTATCAGCGTAACTTTCGAAATGTTGCTGTCATATAAAATAGTGTGATGAGAAAAGTAAGGAATATGCATTGGTTCAAAATATAATCAACTCGAGCTATATAAAGGCACTATGAATTAGTAGATTTCTAGGACCTGCAGAGTTAACCTTTTTTATACATCCTGTGTAATTAATGTTTTTCCTCAAGCATACTAATGAATTTTCTTTCCATTCAGTCAAATGATATGTTTTTAGAACAATTTTTATTTTGTTTAAATTTTATGTCACGATTCTATGTATACCTGTAACAACACACGGGCACTCAACTAATAAATGAAAAAAGTCCATATTACTCCCTCCAAGTTTGGCACCACAAGTCGTCACTAACGAGTATGGTCATTTGTCGCGAACAAAAAATCATCACTAGAGTATCTGTGAGGCGAGTATCTGTGGCGACTAGTGGCGATTTTAAAAGTCACCACAAAGACTAGTTTGTAACGAAAAAATAAGCTTTTGTGATGAAAATTTTCGCCACAAAAACCCTTTGCCCTTGTGGTGGTAGATCTAGAAAAGTTATAGAGCTTTGTAGTTGACAAATTTTTTATTTGAAATCATCTATCCATGGAAACTTATGTTTGAAGTTCTCACATTTGAAATTCGAATTTTTTAAACGATCTCGAATGGAGAAATAATAAAAGAGAAGGTTGTAGGTCTCGAAAAATTATAAAAGTTCGTAGTTGGCAACTTTTCATTTGAAATCATCTATCCAAAAAAATATGTTTAAATTTTCCAAATTTGAAATTTAAAATTTTCAAACAACCTCTGATGGAGAAATGACAAAACCCAAAGTTGTAAATCTCAAAAAGTTATATAAAACTTTGTAGTTGACAACTTTTTCATTTGAAATCAACTATCCAAAGAAAATTATGTTTGAATTTCTCACATTTGAAATTTGAATTTTTCAAATGACCTCGGATGGATAAGTGACCAAAACCAAAGTTGTAGATTTCAAAAATTTATAAAACTTTGTATTTGACCACTTTTTAATTTAAATTCATTAAGGGTCTCAAATACTTATTTTAAAATTAGATGAACATAAAATAAGAGGACAAGTATCGTAATTACACACAAGTGTCCTATGTGTGGAGTGGCACTACTAGACAAAACTTAACCGAGGAGGGCATTTTTGACTTTCTGAGGCTGGCACCAAAAACGCCTCGGACCAAAGATCACGGTAAATAAATCTTTACCGAGACGGTTGAAATGCCTGCCTTAGTAAATCAAATAAAAAAATAAAAAAATAAGAAAACCCGTGGACAGGCCCAGCAAGCCCATCCATGGGCCCGCCGAGCCCATCCACAGGCCACCGCCACCGTTGCTTGCTGGATCCGGCCTCCCAGCCACCGGTTCTGGCCTCCCCGCCACCGAATCAGGCCTCCCAACGCCGGACTTGACGAAGAGGTGGAGTAAGATCGCCAGAGGAGGAGGTGTGCCGGAGGTGGAGCGGCGTCGCCGCCTCGGTCATGCCCGTGCTCGCGCTGCCACTATAGCTCGCTGGATCCGGCCTCCCCACCGCCTAATCCGGCCTCCCCGTCATCAGATACGGCCTCCCCGCCACCGGATCCGGCCTCCCAACACCGGAGTTGGCGAAGAAAAGAGTAGAAGCGCCAGAGAGGAGCGGCGCCACCGCCTCGGCCGTGCCTATGCTGCCTGCGGTGGTAGAGGGAGACGCTCGGGAGCGAGAGTGGAAGAGGGAGGTGCTCCGCCCACCGAGCCCATGCTGCCCTCAGTGCTGGAGACGCCCACGGTTGTGGAGAGGAAGGCGCTCGGGGGAGAGAGTGGGAAAGGGAGGCGCTCTGCCCGCCAAGCCCACACCACCCGCCGTGCCCGCGCCACCCTCGGTGGTGGAGACGCCGTGCTGGTGGAGAGGGAGGCACTCAGGGAAGAGAGTGGGAGAGGGGGCGCGGTCTCACTCGGTGAGAGGGAGGGGCGCACCTATGGGCAGGAGACGGCGTCGCTCGATCTGTTTGGGAGGAGTGAGGAGAGGAGAGTGACGACAGAAACCCTAACTTCCCTTTTTATACTTGGTCATGCCTGCGGGCCTGGTCTGCGCCATCTAGGACTCGGCCTTTTTTTCAGGGGGGCCTTATAAGGGGCCCGCATCTGAAAATGGCTGTATTTTTGGAGGCGCCTCCGTTGATATATTTTAGGAGGCACCTCCGTAAAGCGATTTTGCGAGGTGGTTGAATGTGACCGCCTCGGTTAATAAAAATGTTCGCCTCGGTTAATCCCAGGCATTAAACGAGGCGGCTCAAATGTCCGCCCGCCTCGGAGGCCATTTTTCAAACTCCTCACAAAAGTTTTTCTATAGTAGTGCGGTTAGGGGATAACAACGCGGGGGTGTAGGTCACAGGTTCAAAACCCCACAGCCGTACACCGCACATTCTCTCCTAATTTGAGACTTTGGGATAGCGCCTGCAACTGGCTATCCGGTGGGATCCTCCTCGAGTTAAAATATTTTTTTTGGCCATTTTTAGCTTTTTTTTTTTTGCTAAATTTGCGATTTTGAAAAACGATTTGTAGGGCGGTTCATTTTTTTGTCATTTGCCCCTACAAATCGATTTCTAGGGTGGCTATCGAGCCGCCTAAAATCATTGATTTTTTAGCCATGAATGGGTAGGGGAGGCAGCCGGCCTAATCGCCTCAGAGAGGGTCGAGAGCCGCCCTACTAATATCTGTCTTGGTAGTGCTAGGATCTGCAAAGCCACCTAGAAAGCCATCAAATCTCATGGATGACGTGAACAAAGCAATGTAGAGAGAAAGTTAGGGCAAAATGGTAGTAGATGTGTTTTTTGATGATTGAAAGTTGGATTCTCCAATCGGCCGTGATCCTCTTGTTTATATAGAGTGGGTGGTCTTATCCCGATGAAAAAAAAAAGTTAAGTAATGCAATCTCTAAGTTTCCACGTCGAAAATAGATCCTAAACCGATTTGGAAACAAACTGATTCAGAATATATAGGAATCGGCCCAGACGGTTTTCACAGGGCTGACTCTGGTCGAGCCATTTTATCAGCAAACCGGCCTAGCCGGTTTGGGGTGAAACAAACCCCAATTTTGTCCTCCTTTGCTTAGGCTTTGATTCTTGTTGCCCCAAATATTTTCTTGCATCTTTTTGACACGAGAAATTTAATAGTGAGGCCCATCTCTCTCTGTTGGCGCATTTTAGTTGTCAATAGTAGGTAAGTTAGACATGGCTCTGTTAGAGTTAATTTGAACGGAGATGAAACTAGCTTTTTAAAACTTGGTAAAAAGTATGACCAAGGAGATGCCATCTCTCCCCTCCTTTACAACCTAGTAGGTGATGTTCTTACGAAAATGGTCATGAAGAGAGCTAGAAAAGGACTAAATAAAGGTGTGGATGATGGTTTAAGAGAGCGGGTATCATCTCTCTCCAATATACAGATGACACCAATATTTTCTTTAACATATAGGACCTAGTTACACCCAAAATCGAAGAGTATTTTAATGTGGTATGAACAGGTATCGGAGATGAGAACCAATCTATCTCTCTTATAATTCTAAACCACACTAGCAATGTATCTCAACATGCAAGCTATCTACCACAGCAATGCACTATCACATGTAATTATAACCCACTAGCACATGCAATTGTGATGTGCACGTTAGCAAGACACATAAGCAATTTATTGTCTATATCAACATGCCACTCAATACACTAGCATTAATTTGTAATAATTTGTTCCTTTGTATAAGTAATTATATATAGTCTAATTTTATTCAAAATCAACCACAACTCTCACAACAACGCATGGGATATGCTTCTAGTTTTCATAAAAATGAACTAAGACAAGTCTCAGTGGAGAGTTTTGGTGTTGTTTCCAAGATTGCCACGTCATGTAGAATGAAATGAAACATAGATGAAACACCCACTCTCAATTGAGAGTTTTATTCTATAGTTCCATATACATTTAATTTCATGACTTATAGAAAGTTGGTATTCGTGTCAAGAGAGTTTCATCCCTATGTAACTCACTTCTTCTCTCTCTTCTTAAAAACCTTGCCACATCATCAAAAACGCTTATGTGGCAGCTCATTAAATACAAATGAAACTCCCACTGAGACTGGCCTAACAGCTACGAATGTGTTTCAGGGATACAACACATAATCTAGCACATATTTTTGCTTGTCCTGTTGGTCAATGTAACACCCTAAAATTTGCACTTTTAAAAATAGGATTAAAATGATTTATTTATGAATTTTTGTGCTCATAAAAATATAGGAAAATAAAAAAATTCATTAATTTAAAATTCATCATAAGGAGTAGCAACATGGTTGTGCATATATGTCGGTGCATTTGATTTATTTGGTTGAGTGGTTTTGATTAAAATTCAAAATGGTTTAAATTGCTTTTGGAACTGAGTTTGAAAATGGCTTTGAAATAAAAATAAAAGAAAATTTGAAAATAAAAGAATTTTTAAAAGTTGTAAAATTTATTTTTGGGAGCATACCAAAATTTCTCATTTTTATTTGAATTAAAAAGTGTATTTTAAACCATATTCGAATTTGTTTTGGTTTACATTTGAATTTGGTTTTGAAAACAAAATAGAAAAGGATTTAGAAAAGGAAAAAGAACTCTTCTCCCCTTTCTTCCGGCCTGGCAGCCTAGCCGCGCGCGCAGGCCCACTCTTTCCCCTCTCTCGCGCTGGCCCATGTCACCGCGCAGGCCCAACAGGATGGCCCAGCCCGCCGAAGGCAGCAGTCGCGCGCCCCTTCTCTCTCTGACTGCTGGCCCTCACCCTCATCGACGCCGACAGCTAGGACCTACCTGTCAGCCTCATCACCCCGCTCGAGCTCATAACCAGCATGGAGTTCTTTGACCGTGTCCTCCTTCGTGCCGTCTCCTCGCCTTGGTGTGAGCGCTACGCCTAGCCCCCTCTTTAATAGCGCACGCACCCACATCGCTTAGCCCTATTCCGAGCCCTAAGCGCAGCCGCCGCCTTCGCCTTTAGCTTCTGGCGTCATCACAACCCTAGAACGTCATCGCCGC